AAAACAACTAAGTTTGTGGTCAAATTTTTGTAATCACATTTTTCGTGCTGCATCACTATAGCAATTTTATTCAGCTTCGAACACGCAAATCGAGCTTTAACTGGGCGCCTTCTTGTTTTTAATTGAGATAAACAAAAGTTTTGAATCACCTAGTATTTTATACATATAATTTTTTTTTCAATCTTAAGTTAACTTGCAAATGAAGTTTGAGAAAATGAATTTTTCTCAAAGTTGGCGCTTCATTTGCCTCGGTTTTTTTCCAGTGTGACTGGCTTCAAGCTACGGATAAATGTTATCAAAAAAGCGCCAATTATAAATTGTTTTAGAATTTCCAATAGATTAAAGGGCATCTATTTTGTGTCTTTGATACTCGAAAAAAATTTTCAGATTTTTTAACAAAGTCAAAAATAGATGCCCTTTAATCTATTGGAAATTCTAAAACAATTTATAATTGGCGCTTTTTTGATAACATTTACCTAACTTGAGAATACTGGATCAATAGGTTAAGTTTTTATTCCGCTGAAAACGTAAAAATTTAGCTTCACCTTCGAAACTAACAATTATCAGCAACTTTTAGCAAATGAATTCCAATTGAATTCAAAAAGTGCATATATACCTAAGTGCATTCATAAAAGCATTAACATGTATGAATGCACATCCTTAGTTATTAGGGCATTTTAAGACTTTTTCCTGCAAAAAAAAACAAAAAAATTAACTTCAACTTAAATAAGAGTCTTCGCTACATTCTTTACTCTTAATAATAAAGAAGAGAAAAAAATTGAAGTTAATCAATTTTTCGAGAGAAATAACATTTCTCTTACAACAATATTAGATGTCGTGGTTCCAAAATTTTGACTTGTTGTAGGATCATAATTTTTTAAGCAAACTGGTAATAGACAAATTCGATTAAAAACCCGTAATTTGGATTAAACAGCTGATATCAAATTTGACAGAATACTTAGCAAAAAAAGGCCAAAAAACGATCAGCAAAACACAAATTTGACATTTCCGAGAATCATAATTTTCTGTGTAAAAAGTTAGTGAGTAGCCGCTTATGCAGTAGGAATTCAAGCAACCTGTAATTTCGATTTAAACCAAAATGTCAAACTTGGAAGAGTAATTCTCGAGAGAAGTCAAAAACTTTCAAAAAAAAACGGTAAAAATTCAAACTTTGAAATTTCCGAGGTGCATAAGTTTCGGTGTCCAAAAAAATTGTGCTCAGTCGCTTGAACAATTTTGTTTCTCGCAACCCGTTATTTGAATCTCAGATATAGCAGGGTAATTCTCGAAAATATTCAACAAATTTAAGAAACGGTAAAAACAATCAAACATTTGACTATTGCAAGGGCCATAAAATCATGTGTTAAAAAATTTTCGGCGTAGTCGCTTATACAGGAAGCTTTTCAAAACCGTTTTACTCATAGAAACAAAAAACTCGAGAGGGGTACTTTTTGAGAAAAAAAAAACAAAAATAAATCAAAAAGACGGGTCACATATTACCCACCAGACTTTTTCGAAGGAAATAAATTTCCACAACGAAAAAAAAAACGAAATTACAACAAAACGATTGGTATACATACAACCAAACCGGAAAGTACGGAGTGGAAGGTTAAAATTGTCTTTCCCTTGAAACAACCGACCCAAAATAAGTCCTTGGGCTGATAAAAAATTGGCCAAAATAATTGGGGCCGTGGAATTTTTTTAACGGAACAAAGAAAACAAGGATGGAAATACAAAGTCAAGGATAGTAAAAGTAAAAACTGTGGATATAAATCAAACAATGAAACCAACTTTACTGAAAAATGCGCGCAGCAAGAAAAAACGGTTCCAAGATGTGCCGACAACAGGTAAGCAGACAAATAATTGGCCGACAATGTTATTTGAAAAAGACTCTTTCTCGTTTGAAAAAAAAATTTTGGACGTCCCAAGCACATTCGTTACCTCCAGGCTAAGTTGGCAAGCAACGCAAAGAAGTTTGAATTTTTCATGAACCAAGATACAAGTGATTTTGTTAAACAAGTTGTAAAACCGAAAAAAGTCCATATTCCAGTTTGATAACGCTTGCGAATCGCAAGCCTAAAAACGCTTTGGTCTCTCCCGATTACTCGTGTCTCGACTGCTTAAAAATTGGTAACATAGCCAACAGACACTTGCAAAAGAGTTATGAGCGCAAGTAAACAGAAAAAAAACATTGACTGTTTTGAAATCTCAACTTTCGAATTTCTAAGAAAAAACTAGATACCCTTTAAAGTCTTTGAATTTCTGGAACAATTTATTATTAGCGCTGTTCCGATAACATAACTTCAACTTGAGAAAACTGGATCAATGGGTAAAGTTTTTATTCCACTGCAAATCTACAAATTGTATTCCTTTTTCAAAACTAGAAATTGTGCGTTTTTTACGCCAATTCCACATTCGTATTTGGAGAGTGATGTTTATGTAAATTTCAGCAGATGAATTCCGATTGAACTCAAAAAGTGTATATATACCTAAGTCCATTCATAAATGCATTAAGATGTATGCATGCACATCTGAAGTTATTAGAGCTTTTTAACTTTCCTGAAAAAAGTGACCTATATCAGAGCCTTCATTGCGTTCATTACTAAATGCTACCAATTAAGCAGCTTCAATTGCTATAAAATTGCCAATGCTTGGAAACAGACCAAAAACTCTACCAATTCAGCTTTTTTTCGAACTCTGTCGAGAAAAATGATTCGTGATTTAACACTACGCTCCTTGTGTTAACACAGATAACAGTAAAAACAGGTTTGAAATAGACTGCTTTTGTAGAAAACAAAAATATCAACTATGAGGCTGTGCGCTGCTGTCCCTGAATGAAATCCTGGTACTTTTGATGGTATTCTACTGTTGCAAAAAATATCCGACCATTTTTGTAGATAGCTTTCAGATTTTAATGAACTTTATGCCGTATTGGCACAGACCGCCACTTTCTGTATTGACACTGTCCTCTTTCGTCTTCTAATTTGACACTCTTCTACTAAATCTAAACTTGTTTTCAAACTTGGTGTAAGTATATTGAATTTAGACATGTTTAGTTGAATTTATCCCGTCTGGTCTGGTACATAGTGGAAATTAAGCGCACTCAATATGTTTACACTATCAAAAATGTTCATATTGTTAGCTGCTGTACATAGTTCTGTATGGTCCTCAGTTAATTTTCATTATTGATATAAACGATGTGCTATTTCCAGTTTGTGTGGATGCGGGGAAGGCTTCTCTAGTCTAGTTTCCGAATCGCCAGACCATGTAGACCTGCTTGAACTTATCGAATCCAGCCAACACACCAGCACCCGCTACTCCTCGCAGGATATTAGCTCCGGCTCCCTTCATCATCGACATGAATCCCTCATTCTTCATGATCACCATGGCACAGTCGATGGCTCCCTTGTATTTCACAGCTTGTCCTGAAGCAAATCATCAGTTATTTATTTCCTATACAGATAGATGAATTAACTCAAAAGCATGTGAATCAAATGTACACCGCATATAGAGCATGTCTTACCCAACTTAATCATTGATAGAACAAGAAACATGCATTTTATATCTGAACTCACACAAAATTTACTACAAGTTCAGCAAATTTAACATAACACAGATCGGTTCAAAGTGCAGAGCGGTCAATATAGGTACGGCATAGTTAAGATACAACGGTTATGATCAAGTAGCAAAGAATAGCTCAGTTCACCTGATGTCATCATCATTCGCCTTCTGATGGTATCGATGGGGTATGAGATGAGTCCGGCAGTAACTGTGACTCCGTATCCCAGACAGAATGACAGGAACAGGTTGGCATTCTCTCCCAGGAAGATGGGCTTCAGGGTATCGTACATTCCGAAGTAGAATCCTCTGTAAACGAAGATTCCTACACATGAAATCACGAAGCCTCGGTACAGACCTCCGATTCCGTCAGAGGCGAAGGTCTTTCTGTACACATCTACCATGCCGTTGAACTGCCTCTCACCACCCTAAAATACGTTCAACGTTACACATTTCATCGTGACGTGTTTTGTTTCCAACGAAGCAAGAATTCGAAAGGATCCTCGAGAAGCAAATTAATTCTGCTATTTGTTCCAGCATTAAAAATTTTTTTTGTCGTTTAGTTCTCTACGCTAAGCAAATTTTAAAGGCATGGTACATAAAATTATTTTATCGAGCCACACTCTTGCCAGTGTTATGCTGTATTGATTAAACGACAGAAAATTACATGCACAGACGGTGGTTACAATGACCAGAATTATCATACAAATTGCTGCTCAATCTTGATTTTCATAACTTGATGTCCAAAAAGTTCATTGTTTAGAATTCAGATTGATATCTTGCAAGTATCGATATCTAAGAAACTGCAATATTTTGAATTGCAGCTCGAGTTCTGGCAAAAACTATTGGTTTTTCATTACATCTATGTCGACTTCAAATGAATGTTTACTGGTTATTATCTCGTGATCTGTTAAATTTCACCTGATCCATAGCCATAGATTGGTTTTCAACAGAGGCGAAGCGAAAATAGATTGAACACAGAAGCGATGCTGAGCTTTGCGCCACATGCGGTACAGATCAAGAAAATGATTTAAAAAATCGAAAATTTCGAAACTAAATCTATCAAACTGAATAAGGCTAGTTTTGAGAATATCTTCTGATGCTAATTTCACAATGTACCTAGCGCTGACAAAGCCAAAAATCTTGAACCGAGACAAGAAGAGCAAAAAAAATAATGTAAAAAAATTAAGTCCTTGAAACTACATTGAACAACACTTGCACTTGCAACTTAAATGAAAGTTGCCTCAGAACAGAAAAATCCGTGATAAAGCAACTAAGCCGACAATTTTTGAGCAGACCCAATTTGAGCAGACCCAGTTGGAACAAAGCTTTTTCAATTTGGAACAAAGCTTTAAAAAGTAAGCCAATAAAAAACCATTCAAGATAAAACAGTGTGAGTTTTTTAAAAAACGGAAAATTAACCGACATAAACTAGAACGAAAACCACGAAACCAAAAAGGAGAGAAAAATTTAGAGATTACAACCTGAAACAGTCTTTGCGTAGTTACTACTTAAATAATGGTAGTTTTATTTGACTTTCTTAAAACTTGAGCATGTCCTACTACTTGTCCAACAATCCTACTAATATGACCCTGTGAACAAAGTTAGTTACGGGAAAAGTTTAGTTCTCGATTGCAAGGCCCTTGCTTACCGCAAGGGTAAATAAGGATAGCCGGTTGCTGTGCAAGTAGCACAGAATGTTCCGAACAAATCTTTTTTTTTTCAATTTATATTTAATTTTTGTTCCTGGTGCAATGAAAGGATCTGGACGCACGCAAGCCTAACACTTCAGCAAAATGGACAATCGAAAGGACATTGGACAACAGATTTTGTCGAAAAATGAAAAAATGAAAGACCAAAAAAAAAACGTTTTATTTTCAAAAATTATTTATTTAAAAACTTTTTCATTTCCAAGATGGCGCATAAATTTACCTATTAATTTTAAGTTTTCAGAACCTTCGAAACGTTTCTCGTGATCTTTACACATTTTAAGAAAGGAAATGAAGTGAACTTAATAAAAAAGAAATCAAAAGTCAAACCGCGAAAAAGTAAATGTGAGACTGAACAAACTTGAAGACTTTCCAGTCTTAAAGGATTTTTGACTTTTCATGATATTCTTGGGCAAATATGATATTCTTATGCTTAAGACCACGATAAAGCGATACAAGAAATTCAGCACTCAAGTTATCTTCCCTTAATTAGAAGACAATTTACAAACTTTCGGTTGTCGGTTGTCCACAAAGGTTAGTCGGTTACTCTGCACAGAATGTACCGACCATTGTCTTAAAAAATTACAAATTGAAAATTACAGTAAAAAAAAGGAGAGGATCTTAATGAAAAACTAGTACTAAGGCATATTCGCCGGTAATAGTAAAATAGGCAAACTGGGCACCATTTTTTCTGTCATAAATGACTAGAAAAACAAAAAAAACTAGAAATTAAAAAATTGGTTAAGTTTTTGATTCCAAAACAATGTCGAAAAACTCCAAAAACTACCTTTACTGCGAACTCATCCAAAAAATCAAATCATTCCGATGATTATTTGTGGTACCTGATTGCGCGTGAAAACAAAAGACTAAAACACCCGAATAAAGTTCCTCCACATTTGCTATGGTTGGAACAACATCCAAATCAATCCATTAGATGAAAAAAATGAATTTTCAGTTAAATAAAAAAATCAGTAATGGCAGCCTTATAAACACCGCCTACGACAACGTCAACACAGAGGGTGTGATACGGAATTTTTTGTACGTATTGCCCGAACAATGTTTACTTAAACCTATTTACAGAAAATCTTCGAGAAAATGGAAAAAATGAAAGACCAAAAAAAAAACGTTTTATTTTCAAAAATTATTTATTTAAAAACTTTTTCATTTCCAAGATGGCGCATAAATTTACCTATTAATTTTAAGTTTTCAGAACCTGGGGGCTTATCTTTCGATAACCAGCCTGCTTGCTTTTACTAGCTCGAAAATGAACTGAAATGCAAAAACTGGACACCATGACAACTTTTCGAATCAGGACTGAAAGGGCTTTAATATGATATCACTCAACCACTTCCGATAATTATTTGTTGTACCTGATTTTGCAAAACAGTAAAGCAAAACAAAACCTAATCACCCGAATAAAAAATTTCTCCCCATTTTCAATGATCGGAACAATTTGAACTTATCATGCTTATCAAAACTAACAACGATTCACCTATTCTTTACACAGCAAAAGCGGAGCTTAGCAGAACTTGCGATTTTAAACTTCAGGAAAATGCTTTATAAAACTTGCAAAGAAGGACTCAACAAATTACTCGCCAAATGAATTAAAACCCTGGTCAACCGTTTCAATTTTTCCGAAAAATGCAAGAAGCAATGGCAGGCATAGCACAAAAGATCGTAATTTTTTACTCAAGTGTTTGACAAAGCTCCAACCAATTGGGGAGCAGTGAAAAATCTTAAGCATAGAACTATTACAGAACCGGAGTAAAAACTGGATCGAAAAACATACGCTTCTCATGTTTTCAAAACTGGAGGTGAAGCCGTGCTTCACAGCTTTAGCGATACATATCTGTCCGCCGCCTGCTTGCTGAGAAAAAACATTGAAAGTCACAAAACTGAAGCTATCAAAGTTTCATGTTTGTCTCGATTTGCAATTAACACTAGGCATTTTGAAAAAAATAGACAAAATGTTTAGTTAGCATCGTAAGAAACTTACCAAGCAGTGCAAAACCGACAATATTTGAGCGCACCTGTTGAGCCAACAAAAAATTCAATGCAACCCACTCAAAACACACTCATTCGAAATTTTAACTTATCAAGCGACGCAATATAAGGCTACTAAGTCAATATACAGTAAGACAAAACTTTTCAAAGCAAAAACTCAATGCTCTAAACGAAACCTTGTCAATCTACATTAAGATGAGAGAGATATTTACCATAATTACTGTCATTCTTGAACAAGAGCACTTTGAAAAACTCAACCTTAAGGTACCTTCACCAGAAAAACCTAAATTGAAATTAAAGTTATTGGTAAAGGGGAGTCGCAATCCAATATAATTTTTGAAACCCAGCTTTTGCAGCCTAGACAAAATATATTTGCTTTATACTATTGAAAGGCTCTCAGCGTATAGAAACAAGATATTATCTGAAAACTTAAGAAAATAACTATGCCAAGATCTAAAAAAAACTGAATAAACTAAATTATTTTATCAACAGCCAACAGACAGCTGGAAAAACGTCAATGAACGCAAGGAAACAAAATGAAATCGACTATTTTGAAAATAAGTATATATATACATAATCAACGACCTTCAAAAAATATATATGACCTTACAGCCCTTTGAATTTCAAAAACAATATATAATTGACACCAACTAAGCCAATTTGAGAACTGGATCAATAGGTAATTTTTTGTTCCGCTGGGAAATCCGAAATAAAATAACAACTGAAAAGAATAAATTATTCAACAGAAATAAATTAACAACTGAAAAGAAATCAGTATAAAAAGTTTTTTTACGCAACAACTGAACATAGCCCTCAGAAAATTTCAATGAACGCAAGTAAACAGAAAAAAAAATCTGCCTATTTTTTTGAAACAATCAAAACTTTTGAATTTCTTGGCCCTAATTAGATGGCCTTCAATTTCTGGAACAATTTATGTATGAAAGTTTTCGATAAAATTCGAGCAATTTGGGAAATTCACCCAATTTGGAAAAAAGATCATTAAGTAAATTATTTTGTCACTGGCAAATCTGAAAATCACATCCCACTTTCGAAACGAAGTCAATCACGTTTCTCGTGATCTTTACACATTTTAAGAAAGGAAATGAAGTGAACTTAATAAAAAAGAAATCAAAAGTCAAACCACGAAAAAGTAAATGTGAGACTGAACAAATTTGAAGACTTTCCAGTCTTAAAGGATTTTTGACTTTTCATGATATTCTTGGGCAAATATGATATTCTTATGCTTAAGACCACGATAAAGCGATACAAGAAATGCAGCACTCAAGTTATCTTCCCCTAATTAGAAGACCATTTACAAACTTTCGGTTGTCGACAAAGGTTAGTCGGTTACTCTGCACAGAATGTACCGACCATTGTCTTAAAAAATTACTAATTGAAAATTACAGTAAAAAAAGTAGAGGATCTTAATGAAAAACTAGTACTAACGCATATTAGCCGGTAATAGTAAAATAGGCAAACTGGGCACCATTTTTTCTGTCATAAATGACTAGAAAAACAAAAAAACTATAAATTAAAAAATTGCTTAAGTGTATATATACCTAAGTCCATTCATAAATGCATTAAGATGTATGCATGCACATCTGAAGTTATTAGAGCTTTTTAACTTTCCTGAAAAAAGTGACCTATATCAGAGCCTTCATTGCGTTCATTACTAAATGCTACCAATTAAGCAGCTTCAATTGCTATAAAATTGCCAATGCTTGGAAACAGACCAAAAACTCTACCAATTCAGCTTTTTTTCGAACTCTGTCGAAAAAAATGATTCGTGATTTAACACTACGCTCCTTGTGTTAACACAGATAACAGTAAAAACAGGTTTGAAATAGACTGCTTTTGTAGAAAACAAAAATATCAACTATGAGGCTGTGCGCTGCTGTCCCTGAATGAAATCCTGGTACTTTTGCTGGTATTCTACTGTTGCAAAAAATATCCGACCATTTTTGTAGATAGCTTTCAGATTTTAATGAACTTTATGCCGTATTGGCACAGACCGCCACTTTCTGTATTGACACTGTCCTCTTTCGTCTTCTAATTTGACACTCTTCTACTAAATCTAAACTTGTTTTCAAACTTGGTGTAAGTATATTGAATTTAGACATGTTTAGTTGAATTTATCCCGTCTGGTCTGGTACATAGTGGAAATTAAGCGCACTCAATATGTTTACACTATCAAAAATGTTCATATTGTTAGCTGCTGTACATAGTTCTGTATGGTCCTCAGTTAATTTTCATTATTGATATAAACGATGTGCTATTTCCAGTTTGTGTGGATGCGGGGAAGGCTTCTCTAGTCTAGTTTCCGAATCGCCAGACCATGTAGACCTGCTTGAACTTATCGAATCCAGCCAACACACCAGCACCCGCTACTCCTCGCAGGATATTAGCTCCGGCCCCCTTCATCATCGACATGAATCCCTCATTCTTCATGATCACCATGGCACAGTCGATGGCTCCCTTGTATTTCACAGCTTGTCCTGAAGCAAATCATCAGTTATTTATTTCCTATACAGATAGATGAATTAACTCAAAAGCATGTGAATCAAATGTACACCGCATATAGAGCATGTCTTACCCAACTTAATCATTGATAGAACAAGAAACATGCATTTTATATCTGAACTCACACAAAATTTACTACAAGTTCAGCAAATTTAACATAACACAGATCGGTTCAAAGTGCAGAGCGGTCAATATAGGCACGGCATAGTTAAGATACAACGGTTATGATCAAGTAGCAAAGAATAGCTCAGTTCACCTGATGTCATCATCATTCGCCTTCTGATGGTATCGATGGGGTATGAGATGAGTCCGGCAGTAACTGTGACTCCGTATCCCAGACAGAATGACAGGAACAGGTTGGCATTCTCTCCCAGGAAGATGGGCTTCAGGGTATCGTACATTCCGAAGTAGAATCCTCTGTAAACGAAGATTCCTACACATGAAATCACGAAGCCTCGGTACAGACCTCCGATTCCGTCAGAGGCGAAGGTCTTTCTGTACACATCTACCATGCCGTTGAACTGCCTCTCACCACCCTAAAATACGTTCAACGTTACACATTTCATCGTGACGTGTTTTGTTTCCAACGAAGCAAGAATTCGAAAGGATCCTCGAGAAGCAAATTAATTCTGCTATTTGTTCCAGCATTAAAAATTTTTTTGTCGTTTAGTTCTCTACACTAAGCAAATTTTAAAGGCATGGTACATAAAATTATTTTATCGAGCCACACTCTTGCCAGTGTTATGCTGTATTGATTAAACGACAGAAAATTACATGCACAGACGGTGGTTACAATGACCAGAATTATCATACAAATTGCTGCTCAATCTTGATTTTCATAACTTGATGTCCAAAAAGTTCATTGTTTAGAATTCAGATTGATATCTTGCAAGTATCGATATCTAAGAAACTGCAATATTTTGAATTGCAGCTCGAGTTCTGGCAAAAACTATTGGTTTTTCATTACATCTATGTCGACTTGAAATGAATGTTTACTGGTTATTATCTCGTGATCTGTTAAATTTCACCTGATCCATAGCCATAGATTGGTTTTCAACAGAGGCGAAGCGAAAATAGATTGAACACAGAAGCGATGCTGAGCTTTGCGCCACATGCGGTACAGATCAAGAAAATGATTTAAAAAATCGAAAATTTCGAAACTAAATCTATCAAACTGAATAAGGCTAGTTTTGAGAATATCTTCTGATGCTAATTTCACAATGTACCTAGCGCTGACAAAGCCGAAAATCTTGAACCGAGACAAGAAGAGCAAAAAAAATAATGTAAAAAAATTAAGTCCTTGAAACTACATTGAACAACACTTGCACTTGCAACTTAAATGAAAGTTGCCTCAGAACAGAAAAATCCGTGATAAAGCAACTAAGCCGACAATTTTTGAGCAGACCCAATTTGAGCAGACCCAGTTGGAACAAAGCTTTTTCAATTTGGAACAAAGCTTTAAAAAGTAAGCCAATAAAAAACCATTCAAGATAAAACAGTGTGAGTTTTTTAAAAAACGGAAAATTAACCGACATAAACTAGAACGAAAACCACGAAACCAAAAAGGAGAGAAAAATTTAGAGATTACAACCTGAAACAGTCTTTGCGTAGTTACTACTTAAATAATGGTAGTTTTATTTGACTTTCTTAAAACTTGAGCATGTCCTACTACTTGTCCAACAATCCTACTAATATGACCCTGTGAACAAAGTTAGTTACGGGAAAAGTTTAGTTCTCGATTGCAAGGCCCTTGCTTACCGCAAGGGTAAATAAGGATAGCCGGTTGCTGTGCAAGTAGCACAGAATGTTCCGAACAAATCTTTTTTTTTTCAATTTATATTTAATTTTTGTTCCTGGTGCAATGAAAGGATCTGGACGCACGCAAGCCTAACACTTCAGCAAAATGGACAATCGAAAGGACATTGGACAACAGATTTTGTCGAAAAATGAAAAAATGAAAGACCAAAAAAAAAACGTTTTATTTTCAAAAATTATTTATTTAAAAACTTTTTCATTTCCAAGATGGCGCATAAATTTACCTATTAATTTTAAGTTTTCAGAACCTTCGATACGTTTCTCGTGATCTTTACACATTTTAAGAAAGGAAATGAAGTGAACTTAATAAAAAAGAAATCAAAAGTCAAACCGCGAAAAAGTAAATGTGAGACTGAACAAACTTGAAGACTTTCCAGTCTTAGAGGATTTTTGACTTTTCATGATATTCTTGGGCAAATATGATATTCTTATGCTTAAGACCACAATAAAGCGATACAAGAAATGCAGCACTCAAGTTATCTTCCCTTAATTAGAAGACAATTTACAAACTTTCGGTTGTCGGTTGTCCACAAAGGTTAGTCGGTTACTCTGCACAGAATGTACCGACCATTGTCTTAAAAAATTACAAATTGAAAATTACAGTAAAAAAAGGAGAGGATCTTAATGAAAAACTAGTACTAAGGCATATTCGCCGGTAATAGTAAAATAGGCAAACTGGGCACCATTTTTTCTGTCATAAATGACTAGAAAAACAAAAAAAAACTAGAAATTAAAAAATTGGTTAAGTTTTTGATTCCAAAACAATGTCGAAAAACTCCAAAAACTACCTTTACTGCGAACTCATCCAAAAAATCAAATCATTCCGATGATTATTTGTGGTACCTGATTGCGCGTGAAAACAAAAGACTAAAACACCCGAATAAAGTTCCTCCACATTTGCTATGGTTGGAACAACATCCAAATCAATCCATTAGATGAAAAAAATGAATTTTCAGTTAAATAAAAAAATCAGTAATGGCAGCCTTATAAACACCGCCTACGACAACGTCAACACAGAGGGTGTGATACGGAATTTTTTGTACGTATTGCCCGAACAATGTTTACTTAAACCTATTTACAGAAAATCTTCGAGAAAATGGAAAAAATGAAAGACCAAAAAAAAACGTTTTATTTTCAAAAATTATTTATTTAAAAACTTTTTCATTTCCAAGATGGCGCATAAATTTACCTATTAATTTTAAGTTTTCAGAACCTGGGGGCTTATCTTTCGATAACCAGCCTGCTTGCTTTTACTAGCTCGAAAATGAACTGAAATGCAAAAACTGGACACCATGACAACTTTTCGAATCAGGACTGAAAGGGCTTTAATATGATATCACTCAACCACTTCCGATAATTATTTGTTGTACCTGATTTTGCAAAACAGTAAAGCAAAACAAAACCTAATCACCCGAATAAAAAATTTCTCCCCATTTTCAATGATCGGAACAATTTGAACTTATCATGCTTATCAAAACTAACAACGATTCACCTATTCTTTACACAGCAAAAGCGGAGCTTAGCAGAACTTGCGATTTTAAACTTCAGGAAAATGCTTTATAAAACTTGCAAAGAAGGACTCAACAAATTACTCGCCAAATGAATTAAAACCCTGGTCAACCGTTTCAATTTTTCCGAAAAATGCAAGAAGCAATGGCAGGCATAGCACAAAAGATCGTAATTTTTTACTCAAGTGTTTGACAAAGCTCCAACCAATTGGGGAGCAGTGAAAAATCTTAAGCATAGAACTATTACAGAACCGGAGTAAAAACTGGATCGAAAAACATACGCTTCTCATGTTTTCAAAACTGGAGGTGAAGCCGTGCTTCACAGCTTTAGCGATACATATCTGTCCGCCAGCCTGCTTGCTGAGAAAAAACATTGAAAGTCACAAAACTGAAGCTATCAAAGTTTCATGTTTGTCTCGATTTGCAATTAACACTAGGCATTTTGAAAAAAATAGACAAAATGTTTAGTTAGCATCGTAAGAAACTTACCAAGCAGTGCAAAACCGACAATATTTGAGCGCACCTGTTGAGCCAACAAAAAATTCAATGCAACCCACTCAAAACACACTCATTCGAAATTTTAACTTATCAAGCGACGCAATATAAGGCTACTAAGTCAATATACAGTAAGACAAAACTTTTCAAAGCAAAAACTCAATGCTCTAAACGAAACCTTGTCAATCTACATTAAGATGAGAGAGATATTTACCATAATTACTGTCATTCTTGAACAAGAGCACTTTGAAAAACTCAACCTTAAGGTACCTTCACCAGAAAAACCTAAATTGAAATTAAAGTTATTGGTAAAGGGGAGTCGCAATCCAATATAATTTTTGAAACCCAGCTTTTGCAGCCTAGACAAAATATATTTGCTTTATACTATTGAAAGGCTCTCAGCGTATAGAAACAAGATATTATCTGAAAACTTAAGAAAATAACTATGCCAAGATCTAAAAAAAACTGAATAAACTAAATTATTTTATGAACAGCCAACAGACAGCTGGAAAAACGTCAATGAACGCAAGGAAACAAAATGAAATCGACTATTTTGAAAATAAGTATATATATACATAATCAACGACCTTCAAAAAATATATATGACCTTACAGCCCTTTGAATTTCAAAAACAATATATAATTGACACCAACTAAGCCAATTTGAGAACTGGATCAATAGGTAATTTTTTGTTCCGCTGGGAAATTTGAAATAAAATAACAACTGAAAAGAATAAATTATTCAACAGAAATAAATTAACAACTGAAAAGAAATCAGTATAAAAAACTAGAAATTAAAAAATTGCTTAAGTTTTTGATTCCAAAACAATGTCGAAAAACTCCAAAAACTACCTTTCCTGCGAACTCATCCAAAAAATCAAATCATTCCGATGATTATTTGTGGTACCTGATTGCGCGTGAAAACAAAAGACTAAAACACCCGAATAAAGTTCCTCCCCATTTGCTATGGTTGGAACAACATCCAAATCAATCCATTAGATGAAAAAAATGAATTTACAGTTAAATAAAAAATCAGTAGTGGCAGCCTTATAAACACCGCCTACGATAACGTCAACACAGAGGGTGTGATACGGAATTTTTTGTACGTATTGCCCGAACAATGTTTATTTAAACCTATTTACAGAAAATCTTCGAGAAAATGGAAAAAAAGTAAACTGAATTACTTGAGCTACTACCGCAGAAGTAGTAAATTACTAATTTCGCAGCAATTGACTTGTCTCAATTCAAAATATTTCATTGCCCAAACTGCTCACAAGCTAATAGGAAATTGGTAGCTTGTGCGCATTAATTATCTCCCATTGGCTGATTTAATCAAAACGCTGAACAGGCAGCAATGAATGAGCTTCGATAAAAACGGATATTGCTGATGCTATCTGAAAATCAACGAAAAGAAACTAAGATGCAAAATAAAATGAAGACTAAGTTGCGACTTTGATAAGAACAACTGATCTAATTACACGAGCGTTGCTTGTGCTAATCAAAAATCAGGCTAGCTTCTTTCTTGCAATCAGTTAAACTTATTTTCAAAAAAGAACAAATTCAAGTTTTTACTATGAAAATACACTAAATCCTGAGCGCAGGGCACTTCTGTTTCTAATCTTGATAAAAATTTAAGACATGAATAACTAAGACGAACCTTTCCGGCAGATTTGGCATCATTTGCTAATCTGGTTCGGCAGTAATCTAGAGAGTAGACAAAGCAGAGAGACAGCGATCCTGCGCATCCTCCGCTAGCGATGTTTTTGCTGAAGTTAACCATGTAGGGGTCGGACTTTTTGGGTTTGAACAGAGCCTTGATCTGATCTTTGAATGCAAAGTTCAGAGCCTGTGTTGGGAAATATCTAATGCAATTAGCCAAATTTCCTCTCCAGAAAGGGATGAAACCTTCTGACGAGTACGTCTTTTTAACGCAGTCAATCACACCCTTGTAAGGCTCTGCGAGCCTGCCAGCCTTGATCATCTCATCCTGATTCTGGACCAGGAGCTTGACTCTCTCGATGGGCGCAGCTGCTGTCTTCGAGATGACTGCCGCTGCTCCTGCGAGAGCGAAGTCCTCGAAGAAAGTAATTTTTTGCTTGGGAGCAGATTGGCTGGCAGCTGTGAGGGTCATTTTAACTGAAATATTTTAAAGAAAAAAAATACCTGAACTGCTCTATTCGTTGATTTAGTAGTTTTTAGATCATAAAAATTAGATTGGCGTTAAGCAAATAGGCAATAAACATCACCATTGAAATGCTGAATGAATCATTTTTCGGCGAACATGATTCTACTTCATATCATTTACTAAAAACTGATTGATTAGCAGAAATAGTATTTGTATCCAATCAAATTTAATAGTTTTTGCTGATTTCTAAATAATTTCAAAATAAGTGCACATAAAAGTCGACGATGTCGAAAACAATTGAAAATTTTTTACACTCAGGGTTTTTTAACGCAGCTACAGCACATTAAGACAAGATATTGAGAAGTTAAGTGCTTTTCAAAAACTGGTCACTCCTCTTCGTTCTGGTTTTTCTTCAAGTAACTATTGACCTTGTCTACAATTTCGCTGTGAGATTCGTCCTTAGCGTCTCCTTCAATGACTTTGCTTTCCAATTTTTTACCAATTTCTGGAGCGGCATTGTTCTCAATCGGTTCTCCCGATTCTTCTTCGGGTGGTTTGACGTGGAATGGTTTTTCGTTGGGAGGGAGTTCGTTACTCTTACCACCTATTGCTTGAACTTCGCTCATTTTATTGTTTTCTTTAGATTCCGGTGCTTGTTTACTGTCAGTTGAATATTTCGAATCGATCAACAAATTATTTTTTTCATTGGCCTGTGGGTTTTTGTTCAAGTTAGATGACTGCCCCCCAGCTTTGTTTGTTTCGGATTGGGTATCAGCTACGCTGGAGTCTCGATTGTTTTGGCTCTGTTCAGCATTATTACTTGGCACTACTGCGAAATTAGCTTGAGCTGGATTATATTGCGACTTCTGTTGGTTCACATTATTTCTAAGATAGTTGTTCTGATTCACGCAATTCTGTAGGTCAGCTTCTATTTTTGCGTAATTTGTTGAAGCAATTTTTAAGTTAGAAGCGCATTTGTCTCTTTCGTTTGTGAGGATCAGAAGTTCGCTTTCGCAACTGTTTCGCATCAATGACAATTCAAGTGAATTATTCTCCAACATATTTGTAGCTTTAACCTCAAGCTTGGCAATTTTATCCTCCAGTTCTTCCAACTGAAGATTAGCCTCTGAGCTAGCGGTTTCGGCTAACATCAATTTGCTTTGCAAGGACTTCTTAATTTGCGCTTCATTGAACTGCTGTTTTTTCAACTCGTTAATTTCATCTTTCGCAGTGTATAAGTTTTCTCGCATTATTGCTAGTTCTTTTTGTTGTTGATAGTTTCTAGAATCACTTTCTTTGATCAGGTCTTGGTACCAAAACCTCTGATATATTAGGTAAGTTCCAAGTAAAAATGCCAAGACTATTGGTATTCTAGCACCAAATGCAGGCTGATGCATATAATGGCCATTGCTTTTGTTATGTGTTGGCAACATTTTCTTCTTTTCTACTTCCTTACAATCTATGCAAACTTAACATTAAGATAACTGAAAACTACTTCAAAGTTATATGCTCAGGTTTCAAATCTGGAGAAAAAACGATTATACAACAAGTATCATATGAAAAGGTTCCAGTCAATGAAAGTTGACCTCAAAAAATAACATTTCAAACGCTGAGAAAAATCGACATTTCATTAACCAATTGGGTACCTGATTAACACAGTATCAGGAAGATTCCAGGCAAAGTATTAGTTTAACTTTTGGTACAGCGGTACAGCTAACATTCTTTGCTAGATTATCGGCCAACATCCTTTCATGCGCCTTTATCTTGTGCCTCGGTACCTCCATTCTCTTACAGGCTGAAATCACCGCATAATATTTGGTTTTGTTATAACAATGGAAGATGATTGACAATAAAAAACTTGCTTGCATTACTAATGAAAACATCACTTCAAATGAACAATCTTTATTGAAAAGGGAATCTTAAAATCTGGGTACAAAAGGCATAAACGAGAATCGTACCCAAAATGCCTCAGACTACATTATGAAGAACGACCTACCATCTTAACTGTACAAATGCTGAAAACTTCATTATTATTAAAGGTATGTTTTTTAATGAGATTGAAAAATGTTGAGGTCATTAAAAACAATAATTATCCAAAACCCCCAAAGCCGCCAACTAGAAGATTGTGAATGAACAACACAACACCTATATCTGATAACGCAATATAGATCACAGTAAGGATTTTCCAGTTTGCGCATAAAACTCGGATTAAAACGATTCTACGTCCCAGAAAAAAACTTTCAGAACGCTCAGTAATCTAATTTGCAACATTGAACTATTCCAGGAATTTCTGTACGCAATGTTTATTTCTACATTTAAGTGAAATGCGATTTGTGTTTGAAAAACTGAAACGACACGTAGCTAAAACAGTAAACGCCGATTTCGAAAATTCGTCAACAAGAATAGAGAAAATAATAATAATTGGAAATAAAGTTTTTGCCTTCTGATTTCTACATTTTGAAAGAGAAAAATCTAATTTTTTTCCAAGTATACCTCCGGGTGAAGGCTTTTTTGCCCCCATAGAGTAAAACCAAGTCATGAGTCAACAACAACTGACGGAATCTCAGCTACCAATTACTCACGAAGTGCTGATTGAAACGGAGACAAATTTCAGAAATGCGCTACCAGCAAACAAATCGACGACACAAACAAAACAAATCCAAATAATCAAAATCATCCCCCCATTCTCGAGAGAAATTGTAAGGTCAGCTGAAAATCTGGCGCAGGCATATCGAAGTTGTGCTTCCAATATACTTAAACAATTCCCCACAACAATGCAACAGAAGATGACAATCTCAAAAACAATAACCGTGACGAAAGATGACCGCAAACTTCATACACTGACAGTTATTGCTCCCCCCGAAGCAGAGCAATTCATAACTAGCATCAAAAGCGAAGGAATCATTCTACTTAACAGGACGGTATTTCCCATGGGATGCTTTCCAAGGTCTCATAGACCCAAGAACATTTACCCTAAATTAGCAAAAATCAAATTGTCAAACTTGCCTTATGTATGCAACGATATCGAAGCGAAATTAATTCTCCAATTGCCAGAAGACATAATTCATAGCCCCATATTCCAACGTGAGACCTGTATCGTAACTGAACCGGGTCAGTATGTTTACACAGGAAGAGCAATTTTAGAAGTTAAAATACAAAACGAAGAACAAGAGAAAAAGCTGAAGGACTGGTCTTATAAATCGAGAATGGATGGCTTCAAAATGTGGGAAGGTGTAGAAATCTCGTTTCACATACCTTCACTACATGAATGTCACAAATGCAAGATGTCTGGACGCCAAGAAAAAGGTCATCACGATGATTGGTGCAACATAGGGAACCAAATAACCAAAAATCCAAATAATCACTACCCACAAAAACCAAGCTTCAATAATGCCAGCGACGAGAAAAACGATGACCAAACAACAGGCGATAAGTTTTGTAATGGTACCCAAAATGAAGAAGATAAGAATGTTGAAGCACCACCATCTGGAGTTTCGATTGATGAATCTAAAACAAACAGTGCAGCTACTCCAAGCGAAGAAAAACAAAGGATGAGGTTCTCAACAATCAGGTCGTAGATTTTCATTCTTACTCTGCAAAAGAAAAAAAAAGACAATTTAAATATCGAAAATAACAAACGAAAATGTTCCTCTGACGGAAGAATGCTTACAAAAAGAGAGCGTGAAACTTCACCAACCTCTTGGTCAGTTTTAACACGAAAGAAAGGGCCAAAAGTGAAATCTAAAAATAACGGAGAAGACTTGGTTGGAGGGAAATTTTAGCAAAAATTTCTATGTGCGAAACACCAGATATTTTTTCCGTTAATATTTTTAGCATAGGAAATCCAGCTAAATTACACTCACTTATCAAAAAATGCCAAGTTTTAAAAAAATCGCCCAGTTTCATTTTGTGCATTCAGGAAGCAAAAATATCGAAACTTACAAATATACATTTCAGTTTACTGGATAAATATAATGTTTTATTCGACTTCATACCGGGCTCAAATAATTCTGGTGGTTTCTTAACGTTATGGTCATCAAACTTGAGTCCTGCAAAAAGAATTGCTTCAAGTACAGGTTTTCAATTGTTAAAGTTTGTCAAACTTGATGGGTTTGTTATCAACGTTTATGCGAACCCAATTTCATTCCGAGCAACTTTGAATTCCCTGAAATTAAGCATCAGATTTTTACCTAACAAATCGAAAATTATCATGATGGGTGACTTTAATGCGCTGAGTTATGATAATATTAACAGTTCTTCAATACTCAAGTTAAATGATGCACGTATCAAACGATTTACCCACCTCAAAGAACAAATTCTTGACTGTTTTGGTTTTGTTGATTTTGCACTCAAGAATGATTTTTGTGATTATACACATTATGACAAACAACATAAAACTTTTGCACGCATAGATTATGTTTTCATAAAATTCGAAACAGAGTATGATTCTATGCAAAGCATTCAAATATCAATATCTGATCATTTGCTCTTACACGTTTTTGTTAAGCCATCTAACTTGTATCAGCGCGGCCCTAGTTACTGGAAATTAAATGAAGAAATTTTAAACAACAACGCCAGCTTAATTCGTGAAGACCTAAAAAACTTTTACGAAAATGAATCACCAAGTAGTTACGAAAACTTTAAGCACAATTTTCGTGACCTTCTGAGGTTTATTCAAGAGAACAAAAAGCGTGTAGATCAGAAAGAACTTAATTTATTGAAGTATCACGAAAATGTTCTCAGAGATTCCATTCACAGCGGAAAAGGTCCGAATCCTAATTTGATTGAAAAATATCATTTGGTGCTGGAACAACTTCAAAAAGTTTCCATGGAAAAGGATTTTTCAGATTATCGAAAAATTCAGAAAACTCTCAGCTATACATTCGAGGGTGTTCCCAAATTTTGTAGTCAATGGACATCAAAGAACACAATTAACTCAATCAAGCGAATTCAAGTGGATCAGAACGTTTATCATACGGATGAGGATTTTCTTAATCAATTTCGAAAGTATTTTTCAAATATTTTTTCAAATAGTTCTACAACAGAC